AGTATAATTGCATTTTATAGAATGAAAAAGTATTTTATAATTTAAATTACATTGAATTATAAAATATTAGTTATTAAATTATAAAAAATTATTTTAAAGTTCAAATAATTTAAATTATAAAACAAAGTCAACTTTCATCTAAAAATTTTAATTTTATAATTTAATACAATTTAAATTATAAAATAAAGTCTTCTTTCATCTAAAAATTTTAATTTTGTAATTTAATACAATTTAAATTACAAAATAAAAAATCCATTGAATTAACAAAAATTTTTAAATATTAAAAACAATTTTATATCTAATAATTAATATTTTACCGTCTAATATAATCTAAATTTTAAGAGAACAAAATGTGTAGGAAAGTAGAATAGGAACCAATTTGCCACAGGGTAAGACTTACCACGCAGCTATCCGAATTTTATTTTTCTTACGTAACTATAGTAATATTGGAGGGGAGGCCCAACCCAACTACACCTCTCTATCTGTATATAAACACCACCGGAGCCCTAACTTAGCCCTCACCATCTTAAGAACGCCAGAGAAGAGCCCCACCGCGCTAGCTGCTGCAGGAGTTTTCTTCCTCTTCAGAAGACCACCTTCTGCGGCAGCTCCCTGGCCACTCCCATATTCAAAAATTACTGTAATATATATATATATATCGTTAAATTAAGAGATGGCTCGCTCTTTCTCTGCCGCTAGGCTGATCTCTGCTGCTGCTGCTGACGGCCTTTCTCTCTCTATCTTCCGGTGAGTTCACCATCATCTCTTTCTGATTTTTCTTGCTTTCTCTTTGCATATTCCAACTAAATTAAGTGATTCACAGGATTATGCATGTTTCAATTCGTTATGAATGTTGTTGGATTCCCGACAAAATGTTAGTTTTAAATTTTTGTTTTTGACATGTGTAACTTTGAGGTTGTAATTCTTAAATTTTATTTGAATTTTTTTTAGTATTGTATTTGTCTTTATCTTCCTATTTTAAAATTTTTGTATATAGCTGTGGAATAAAAATTTAATACTCCGTATATATTTATGGCAGTAAAAAAAAAAATTTCTACCATATGAAAATTTAGAATTAAATGAATTCATATTTTTGTTCTATCAATGAATTTTTTTATTTTTATTTTTATTTAATAATTACACAGGAGAGGATTTGCCGCTGCGCCGCAGGCGTTACTGTATGCCAGGGAAGGGTCCAGAATTGGTGTGAATGTGATGGGGAAAAAGGATCAGAGGGCTGCAATCAAACCAGAATCTGGGGACTCATCTGCATGGGCCCCAGATCCCGTTACTGGGTATTACAGGCCGGGAAATCATACGGCTGAGATTGATCCAGTGGAACTTCGGGAGATGCTCTTGAATCAGAAAGGAAGATCTCACTAGGATGACCTACACTTGGAGCACCAAATCACTTTCCCCATCCTTTGTATTCTCTTGTACTGCTTTGCCTTTTTCTACATATCAATTATGGACTTATACTTCACTTTAATCCAATAAGTAATTTTGAAAGTCTGGTTCTTTTGAATTTAGAATCATGCTCAACCTCGATTATGTTCGACTCTTAAATCCAATTATCTTTCTCTCAACCAATGTTATCAATAGCGGATAACAATGAGTAGCCCAATGTTATCAGTAGCGGATAAAGAGGCTAAAATCTGTTATAGCAACGTAGCGTAGCAGTCACTATTAATAAATAGTCGGCATTAAATATATAAAAAAATAAAATATAAATCTAATAATTAAAATAATAGACAAATCTAATAATAAAAAATATAAAATAACTTAAGAGTTTATAAAAGCTATTAAAAATTATAGAAAATAATATTATCAAGTCTCAACAAATAAAAATCATAGTTTGTAACAATCAAACGAGACAATAAAACACATTTAAGTGTATAGAAATTACATAAGATCAATTAAGAAAAAAGTCAAATAATCGAAATTTGAAATATAAAATCATTTAAGACTCTAATAATCCTCATCACTCTCTTGTGCTTCTAATTCTTCTTGCTTAGTCACCAAATCATCATCATCCTTGTCTTTCTAACTTGTTCCACTAGGCTCAAACTCCTCCTCTTCCTCATCTGCCTTTTCAAGATCTAAAGTACAAATCTCTTCACTAATTCTAGGAGTAGCATAAAATGTATTAATATTAGAGATTGTGGCTGGAGTTCTAAAGGTTAGTACTGGAATTTGAGAGGTCAAGAGTATAGTTGCATTTCCTTTTACTTGTCCCCTAGTGTAAGTTCTAATTTCTCTTGCCCTTGATGCTCTCTCCATATCTTCCCAAGTTAGATTATCTTTTTTAAAAACCAAATCATTATAAACATCTTTAACTTCACCATCTCTCCAACCAATCACTCATTATCCAAATTGATCTCATTTAGAACAATAAGATCAATCTCATCTCACATATCATAACGAGTTTTAAGAGCTTGGTTGGACTTTACAAAAACCAAGTCATGCACTTTTTGGTTCTCAAGTTGGTTTTTCTTCTTAGAATATAAATGAATCTGAAATAGTATAAAGAAAAAAAAATAGAATTTACTATCTCTTTATTTTATAAAATCTGTTTGTAAAAAATAAAATTTTACTTTTTAGTTCATTCATTCAATTAGTAGAAAATAAAAATAGGAACTTATTCAAATACACTTCAATTACACTCACATCTAGATGCACTGCATGTCAAACTCAAGATCTTGACAACCAACTTCTACAAATTTGGATCTAAATGCCCAAACAAAGTCCATCATTCAATTATAAAAATGCAAACACTTACTTGTTTAGTCAATTTAAAATTATTAGAATTAATTACTAAGTAATTGACAAAGGAAGGCAACTAAAAAGGCTATAAAAATAAGAGGCAACATATTAATTTCAACACAAAAAAAAAAAAAAAAGAAGCATAAAGCCATTCAAGAAAAATAAAGTGGCATTATACAAGAAATCTTACCAAGTGATTTCGAATCCCTTGATGTAATTGCTAAGTCATCACCAGAGCGAACTTGAGCTCTTTTATAAATTGCCACTTCATCATATATTTTGAGCTGCAAATTAACATCAAGCTCCATCTTATGCAATCCATCAATCCACTAGTAAGTCTCAAATCTAGATCCATATTTGGAGTGCTATAAAAGACTATATGGTTTAAGTAATGAGCTGCTGCATGCAAAGGCCAATAAAGTTGGCATTCCCATCTTTTGTCAACAATTTCAAATATTTCCTTGAACATGTTTTCATCATCGTTTTGTAATCTCTTAATGGCATCCCTAGTTTTGGTCATTGCCTCATAAATATAAGTCATTGCTAGCTTACTTTCACTATCAACAAGCCACAAAGCAGTCAGAAAAGGACCCATAACCCTTAGAGTATATCAAACATTATTCCAAAATGAAGCAACCATTACAATATTGATTGTTTTTACTCCTTTGGCATCTCGAGCCAACTTACTACTTGTCCATTCATCAAATGTAAACATCTTCTGAAGATTGGCCTTTTGCTTGTACACACTTTGCAATGAAAGAAAATTTGTAGCAAACTTTGTCACCCCATATTGAACCAACTTAGTCTTGTTAGTGAATCGCCTCATCAAGTTTAAGGTGCTTGAATGGTTGGGGGTTGAATGGTTGTAAATGAATCCAACAAGACTCATTGCTCTTTGTATTGTCTTCTTGACTTTTGAAATCTTTCCAATGTCCTCTAGCATAAGATCAATGCAATGTGTTGCACATGGAGTCCAAACTATGTGCTTTCTCTTCTCCTCTAATAATTTACCTAAGAGAAATAAAACAAAATGCATTAATAAATTAAATTTAAAGTTAAATAAATAACAAATATAATAGAATAATTATACTTGTCAGCTGCAACTTAATTGCTTTCATTATTTGTTACAAATTAAACAACACGTTCTTCTCCAATCTCCTCTACAATGCCATCAATCAACTCAAACAACCTTTCCCTGGTTTTGACAAAAGTGGAAGTATCAATAGACTTTACAAACATTGTACCAACAAAAGAATTGACAAAAAAATTGACTACGCTCCTTTACCTCATACCTATCCATCCATTAGACATAATAATGACCTATATCTTGGTTATTGTTTCCTATGGTACTCCATTAGTTTTTTTACTGTGCTCCAACTGATTATTTATGCATGAGACCCTCAATTTATGGTAAACAAAAGGCTTGAGATTTTTTTTCCATATTGTCCAATTGCTTCTATCGTTAGCTTGAAACTTTTTGAACGAGCAACATTGAAAGGGATACCATTTTGGTAGAAAAACCTAGTAATGTATTGAATTGTTTTAGCCCTCAAATCCTTGTTGGAATTTTTTATATTTGATTACCTACACTTTTCAAGCTTTCTCTTTTTAAGAATTTCCTCAAGTTTTTTTGTACATGTACAAATCGATGGGGCCTTTATGTTGCCCAATATTGGCCTTCTTACTTCTACCATCAATAGATAGAGTTGATTCTCTTTTCATAAGTTGTTCCTTTTCATCTTCCTCTTCAAGATCAACAATACCACAATTAGACATAAATATCTCATCTTCTAATTTTTTTTGTTGTGGCTTTTTGTTGTAGATTAGCCCACAACTCTACCCTAACTGCTAGTGGGCATTTAGGACATGGAGCCACTTCCCCTTTGGTCCATATTTGATGCCTTTTAGCTCTAGTGATACCACTAGTGGTAATTTTATTACAAAAGTTACATACCACCCGACTAAAGTTATTAGGATCCTACAACTTATAATATTTCCACCCAATCTCATCATCTGATCTACTTGTTTTTAATCTTAATAAATTGGTTCGTTGATCCACTTTCTATGTCACTGTCAAATCATAAAAAAAAAAAAGTGTTATAATGTTTTAAATTAAACAATATATAGTACATTAATCCACTCTCCATGTTATTGTTTTGTTCATATTTCATAAATGGAAATTAATATATCAAATAACAAGTAAATTAATCAATCTTGAGTTCTTGACAATCAAATTGATATACAATCTAGAGTCTATATTTCCATATTAGATAATACATCATAGAATCAAAATCAATGTTTTCTTTTCCTATATGAACTTGCTTGAATCCAGAAAAAAAATATAAAAAGAAAAAAAGAAAAAGAAAAAGAGGTAGCACTTGTAGAACCAAGCAAAGAAAAAAAAAAGCAATTAAATTATTTGGTGAAAGTTAGAGTTAGGCAAAGCTTCTTCTTTTTTTTTTTCCCAAAAAAAGGGAAAAAAAATTGTAACATGCTTTTGTTTCTAACTTTTTGTTTCTAATTCCAACTTTTTGTTATGGTGTCAATAAAAAAAAAAGAGGGTAAAACACTTTCTATTTCTAGAAAAAAAAATAAAAATAAAAAACAACAACAACAAGGGAGAGTTAAGATGAAATAGAGATTTAAGACTAAGAAGAGATCAATGAAATTAAAGTCTAAATAAATAAAAAGTGGAATGATTACCTAAAATGGGAGACTATATAGTGTACTGTTCAACGCTTAATTGTTGTTCAATTATAGGTGTGAAGGGGTGAGAGTTGTCTTACTATGGCCAATGGGTAAGAGGAAACCAAATAGTGCGTGAAGAGTGAGAGAATATCAACATTGAGACTTGAGAGGTGAGGCCATGAGGGTAGAGGAGACCAAATGTGCACAAGATGTTTTGGAGATTAGGTGCTCAATGAGTTTTAGGGTTTTTTTTTCTTTAGTTTATAAATAGAAAAGTTAGAAAGACAAAATTAACTTTAAAAATTTTAACTTAATCTCTTGATGTAGGGTTAACATAGTCATTTGAAAGAAAAGTCAAAAGAATTTAAATAGCAGTTGCCATAACTACTAATTGCTATTCACATAGCGGTCGCTATAAGTGGTAATAGTAGTCACTATTGTTTAGCCACTATGTTATACCATTATAGCCACTATAGCTGCTATTGATAACACTGCTCTCAACTATAAAAACTTCAATAGGGTGTTTTTGTGTTATGTTATGAATGAGTTGAACAATGTTGTTAATTCTTTTCATCCAATCCCTTCACTGCCATAGTTGTTAAGGTCATAAAATGCACATCTCTAATACTTATGTGACACTAACAAGACAAGGTAGGACAAAAGAGTGGTGGACGCATTGGCATGTTGCTTAAATTGGAGTTTAGGCACATATTGTTTTAGGGGTTGTTTGGATTGATTGTGTTGATACAGTTGATAGCTAATAGTCAATATCTAACGATTGATAATCATTATTCTTTATAATTCAAATGATTTGAGCTATTCAATTAAAACCAACAGTTGATAGTTGTTCTTTAACATTTGAAACAAACACCCTTTTAGTCTAAGGACTTAAACCCTCAAAAAAAGAAAGTACAAGGGTTGGGTTTTGCCAATATTTTTTTCCAAGAATAATTTTTTTCAGTCCTAGAGTGCACAAAATGTACAATTATGAAAGTATCAGAAAAATTTTAATAAATTTCATTTAATAAGAGTACTTAAATACTTACATCAGTGAATTACATGCCATATATAAGAATAGAAATTCTAATATCAAAAACTTAACTCAAATTTAATAATTAATAATATATAATTTAGTATAATTTCAACTTACACAATACTTTTTCTTTATTTTATTTCCCAGATAACTTAAGGCTTGAAGTTGAAGGGCTAGCTTAAAGCCAACAATGAGACGGACAAAGAAAATCTAGTGAGGGAGGGTCCAGGATTAAAGTACAGACAGGTTACTGACCCCTGGTATCAGCTTTTGTCCTGTCGTTTTGCCATCCCTGTATGTACTTCTTCCCTTGCAGATGACACAACCTATCCTGTCTCTCTCGTCTCATCTGAATTTCATTTCGTACCCCATTTTAAGTTTTAGCACAATTTTAATTTGAGATTACAATTGTAAATTACTACGGTCCAAGAATTTAGGTCACAAACAATGTAGCTGAGTCGGGCTATAATAAGGGTAGTGATTAGTGAATTAGTGATCATTGAAAATTTGGGACACCAAAGCCATGGCCCAATTGAAACTGGTTGTGTATCCTATTGAGCTTCACGTCTCTGGTTGTACTTTGATTTGCTACTCTAAATTGTTTTCCTGCTAAAGGAAACATTGATTCTTGTTCATGAGAACAAATCAGAGCCCGCCAGCTTCATGTCAAGGAGAAAATTTAACAAATTCCGACTTAGTTTTCAACGAACATTGTCATTTCTAGTTGCTTATCTTGGGCATGGATACTGTCATACACTTTTGTTTTCTTTTCTTTTTTTTAAGGTTACACAATATTATCTCTAAAATTATTGATTTTATTTAGTTTAACTATAAAAAATAATTAATAATTATAGCAATTAATTAATGTAAAAGTTGTATTTATTATTACTTAACAAATTGAAATTAATCTATAGATTAAAGTTTTTAAAAACCACAATTAACTATCTAAAAAAAGCTATAAACTAATAAAATTAATTAAACCAAATATAGTAATAATTATGTGCGGTCATAAAAAATTTAAAAAAAAAAAAAAACACTTAAGGCAATAGCAGCAACTACTTATGTTGTTGCCTTATCAATAGACAATAATAGTAACCTAATGGAGTGTTTAATTGTTAAGAACTCGAAACTTCAATTTGGAGATCTCAAATTTGAGACTTAAGTTGGATGTGGAGGAATTTAGAAATAAAATAGAACTATTAACTCTTATATAACTCATAATCAGATGTACCAAAAAATAAACAATTATAATGTCAATGAGAAATTTTACTATATAACTAAAATATATAAAAAGAATATTCCATACACACCTTTCTAAAGTAGAAAGAAGAAAAAAGTGATGAAGGTGATTTGTTTGGGAAGAAATTTAAAAGGAGGTTTGCTTGTTCCCAAGGCCTCCAAATCTAAAAAGAGATGTATCATTTTTCCGTCATGTATAAGCCCCAAGCTTTCTAGTTGCAAGTGACCCCAATGGTCCACACATAAATTCAGTGTTCTGATTCAATGCCCATGAGTTTGAAACTCCTGCTCTCAGAAACAGTTCTCCCAAGAGTCATCAGCTTTTATCATGTCTCTTTGCTATCCTCTCCCTCTGTAATTCATCATGCATGCTCTTCTGTCCTATCATCACCCACAAGAATTTTTTTTTTCTTCTCCCTTTTTCCCTTCTTTATGTGAATTGTACCTTTGTGGTCCCAAAATTTAAATACAATCCATGTAAGAGCATCTATAATGGGAAAGACTAATTTGAGTTCTTCTTCAAAGCACGTGATTATAATCTTATAGACGGTTTGAATTAGTTTTCTTTGTATAGTTAATAATTAATAATAAATATCTAATGATTGATTATTATTATTATTTATAATTTAAAGTATATAATTTATTTAATTAAAATCAACAATTAATAACTGTTCAGATAAACGCTAAACAAATATTGCTTTATACTATTTTACTCAATCCAGCAACAACGACTCTCATCTCCAAAGTCTAGAACCGTTAAAAAAACTATTTTAACATTTAACAAAATATCCTTGAAGATGTTCGAGTGATGAAAGCATTTAAGTCTTCCATTAGTGATCTTGAAAATTAAAACTTAAAAATGGATGGGTGATATTTTAAAAAAAAAAAATTATATCTTATTTTATAACTCAACAAAAGCACTTGGCTACCATATTCAACGTTTCACATATCCATTTCATGTGGCATAACGAATCTTAAATAAAGTAAGGAGGAATTTAAAAAAAAAAGTTATTTTTTTTATATAACCTATTATTATTAGACATATCAAAAAATTAAACGAATTATATAATAAAACTATAAAAATAATAACTATTAAATATTAAATACTAATTATCAAGCATTAATTTTATAAAAAAAAATAATTTACTGCACTGAACTAAACATAACCTAAATCAATAAATCCCCAAATCAAGACTGTATTTGATTTGTCAACGGTTTAAATAATTCAATGATCATCTCTTTCCGTAAAAAATAAAAAGTATTAATTTGAATCACATGACATATGAATGAGGTGGGATAAGGGGTGAGAGATGATTATCTCTCATTATACAATTAAGTTAAAAATTAAAAAAAGGGGAAAAGGGGGAAGACTCTGTTTGATTTAATTTGCTTATGGGTCATGGCATTGCTAGCACATATACGGGACCCTTATGGGTCATGGCATTGCTAGCACGTATACGGGACCCCGATCTAATAATAGGCGAGTACCTCCGGTAAGTGCCGGGTGTCCTATATGGCCCGAGCTTTACTGCCTTACTAAGGGCGTGTCTGGCTGCAGGCAAAACTTTCCTCCAAACATTTCTTTTATTTATAGGTTATTTTTACAATTTAGTAATACAACAAACAAAATAATAGTAAAAGTAATATTTTTCCCTCTTAAAGTTTGCGCCCTTAATATATTTTTAGTTTGGATTTTTTTTTTAAACTGTGGTTTTTAGGTATATGTTTAAAGTACATTTATTATATTTTTTTATAATTAATATATATATATATAAACATTAATTTTAATTCTATTAATTATTTAATTAAAATATTTTATATGCCATTAGTGTTTAAAATAAAATTTATTTTTATCATTTTTCATATAAAATAATAAATAAATATAATAAATATACTTTTAATTTATACCCTAAATAAATGCTTTTAATTTTTATTTTGCTAACACAATTCTCAATTACAAAAATCTTCTTTTTACACTCATTTAAAAAAAAAAAGACTTTTTTAACTTTTCTTATGCAAGACAACTTTTTTTATTAACTTTTTTAGATTAATTTTTTACTTAACATTAAAATTTAATATCTCAATAAAATTTTAATAAAATCTCATTAAACTTTTCATTTAATATTTTTTAATATTATATACTATATTACCTTTTCAAACACTTTCCTAATAAAAATTTTCTCAATAAAAGTTGCCTGTAACCAGAAGGTCTAAAAGTCATCAACTTGGTTATTTTTGTCAAATAGAGACAACAAGAACTTGGATAAAAATTGCATTTCTTTCTTTAATGTGATTAAGAGAACCATTTTCTTCTTTCTTGTGCCCCCCTCGTCAAAATTATTTATTATGTTAAAATTTTCCCTCAACCTTCACTATTTTCAAGGCCTAACTACTTTTACCATAACTATGTGGAGTAATTAATTAAGAATTTCACAAAATTGATTAAAAATTAACTAAATAGATACAAATGCAAAATTTCAAATTAACACTAACAAATTATCAAAAAAACAAAAAAAACAAAAAAACCAAAAATTGCAAGTTTAATTACCCGAAAAGAAAAGAAAATGAAATTCTTCTTCCTTCTGCAAATTCCCAAACCCCATCTGAGCCTGAATGAAACAGAAGAGGTGCAAACCTAAAGAATGAGATTATTTGCAAATTTATATATATATATATATATAAAAGGATCAAAATAAAAATAATAAAAAGAATATGACATTTTCAGGACAAAGATAAAAACAGTGTAGCATTACTAATGGGATAGAGTTCAAAGAAATGAACTTAACACAGAAATTAACAGGTAAATTAGGCAAATTTAATGTGTATCCTCCCCAAAGTTCTTCCCTTTAGCTTCTAACAGCTAACAATGAAGGAATTGCAGAGAGATTTGGAGTTGTGTTCTTCTTGTTAGCTTCTCTAATGGTGGTAGTGTCTGATCTTTTCCCATTCTTGTGGCTAAAGGCTCTCATCGGAGAAGCAAATGCCCACCCCCAACTCTTGCTCCGGCTGTGGACGACTGGCCGGCCCGTTGGTTTTCCATTCATTTCCTCGGTGGAGGATGATACCCAGTAGGATGAGGAAGAGGATGAGGAGGATGAAGATGTCATCATGAAGCCACTGAAAATGCCACCGCACTTGACTCTTTCCTTCATGACGGAGGCGGAGGGATGCTTGGGTTTACCTTCCCTTTGCGATTCAACTCTCCGAAGAGTGCAATCTCCAAACCCAGTTGAGATTCTCTCGAAGAAGTCACCGGAGAAACTCCTGCTTCCACAACCGACGGATCTGGATCTTGACACCTTCCGTTCAAAGGAGGAGGCGGTGGTTTGGCTTGTGGGACTGTCATCGTCCTCCACCACCACAATGCTTCCTTTTCTCGCAGACAATGACGAACCCCCCATGCATTTCTCTCTCTGTTTCAGAACAGAGGACGACGACCCAGTTACCACCGGCGCCCAAGATGCAGTCTTTTCCGGTTTTTTCCCAGAATGGGAGGCGGATTTTGAAGAAAGATAAAGAAACGACCAAAACCCACCTCGTTTCCTTGGACTAAACTCCTCCCCGTCGTACAACACGGCAGAACCGCTTCTCCTCAGCGTCGTAGTAGACTTGCTCCTTTTGAACACAACATCAGCCGCCCGATGATCCGCCGACGCCATCATCATCTTCTTTTTCTTCTTAGCCAACAGAAACGGAATCCTCGCCCGCCTCGCATAATATTCACGACAACTATCATCATTTCGTTTAACACTCATCGAAGCAGGACCAACAGAGATAGACAGAGAAACAGAGGAAGAAGAAGGACCAGTGACGATGCCACCATTACCATAACCGGCAGAAACAACGCCGGTATCAGATCTAAATGACGGAGAAGGAGACGAAGAGGAGGATCCACGGATGGGTAAAGGAAAAGAAGAAGAAACAAGCTTTCCTAACTTCTCTTGGAGACAAAATGCACAGATCCCACCTGGGTTGTTTCTGTAAGGATGATTACTACACTGCATGCCATCACCCATATCTTGATCTTCCACAAGCCCAACTTTTCCTCTGATTCCTTCCATCATGTCAAGCTCTTTCTCATATCAAGAATGGGTTTTTTTTTCTTTTTTTCTTTTTTTTTCTGAGAAAACAGGGGAGGAGATGAAGATGCAAACAAAAGAAAGAGGAGCTGAGAGACAAAGGAGTGTAATTGAGTGAGAAATTTTGGCATAGAAGGGCGAGAGCAGGCCAAAAAAAGGGAAGGGAAGAGTCCCCAGAAGCACGTGCAACACTGACTCAATCCTATATATTAATGGATTTTTTAAGTCTATACAAAGACCGGTGAAACCCTAACACCATTTTCCTTCCAAGTTCCAGCACCATTACCAACCAACCAACACAAGAATCTTACAAAGGTGGAAGTTTTTTCTTCTTGGTTTAATATCAAATTTAGTCCCTTAATTTTAGAGTTTTACACAATTGTCGTTCATCAACTTTTTTATGTACCTTTTTATCCCTCAATTATTAAAGATACACTTTTTTAATCTTTCAATCCTTTAATCTTTTATATATGCACATTTTTAACACTTAAAATTTTAAGTTGAAAGATGAAAAATGTATATATATAGATAAATTTAATAAATTAACTGATAAAAAGATTAAAAAATATATAATTTTCATAATTGAAGAACAAAAAAAATATAAAAAAATTAAAAAATAAAAATTATACAGAACTTTAAAGTTGAATGACTAAAATTGACATTTAACCCTTTTTTTTAATGAATCAAGTCCTAATTTTATGCACCTCAAGATCAGTAACTCTTTGGACAATTTTACAAGTAAATTCACATCAACCAGACATATTTTAAAAGGAATAACGATATAGAAATAATTTTTTTATATAATTTTTTGTGTAATTTTTACATATTATTAAATAAATTAACGTAATCATTATTACATATTTTAAATGGATAAAAATAATTAATTATTTAAATGATATATAAAGTTGTACTAAAAATAATACATAAAATTTATCTTTAAATTATTTTCCTTAAAAAATTAAATTTTTTAACAATAATTCTAAAACTTGAATATGAATATGGCTTTCAAGCAAAATTTGCTCACTAAATATAATTTTTAAAAAAATTAATCTAGTACTTTGTATATCTTTTGGTTAGGAACTTAGAATCAGAAGAGAAATGCTTCTCCAGTACATAGATTCCTTGGGCGTGATTAGATTAATATTATATGGGTGGGTGCTTCTCCTTCAATACTACATGACAATGTTGCGTCCTCAACAATGACTTGATGCTATTATTTTTTTATTATGTTTAATTATGCCACAGATCACTTATTTATCAAGTGTAATTTTGTTAGCCAACAAGACTAGAAATCTAATAAATGTTATTTATCTACTAAATCAATATTTTTCATTGTGAGCTTGTGGAGTTCTTGTTGGTTTTAGTGCTCTGCATTCGAGTCATTTTTTGGTTATCTACCTTCTTTTTTCCATCTAATTTCCTTATCTTCTCTATCTCCCTTGCCTTCTCTTCCCTCCTAACCTCATTTAATTAGATGACTTGGTGAATTTTGTAATCTCCTTTTTTTGTTTGCCTCTTTCCTCGGTCTATTCCTTTTAGCCCTTCCTTTTTTTTCTTTTTAATTACTAAAATTAATATCAAATTTTTTTTTTCATTTAAATTAAAGTTTAAAAGGTATCATAAATGTACCTTTAAAGATATCAGTTAGACAAGCATTTTTTCATATGATATATAGTATCTAATAGGAATATTATATTTAAATTAAATTTAATAAATTTTAATTTTAATAATAACTTTTTTTACATATATAGTATCTAAAAAAAATAAAAATAAAAATTAAAACTATATTAAATTGATGATTAGTTTAAAAAAGAATTTTTTTTATCTTAGTTGCACAATAAAATATAATCATCTCTAATTTTTTTATCTCATTTCACATACATATCATACAATTTAAATTCATGAATTTTTATTTTGAACAAAAAAATATAACTACTAAATTATTTAAGTAGTTTACATTTAAAAAAAAAAATTTTAGATTTACCTGCACCATAGAGTAGGGCAGGTAAAAATGCCGCCTAACTCCTAATAACTAGGTTTGGTGTTCGAA